AATCAGAATATGTCCTGAAATATGTGTCACTGAGTTGATTAATGATTACTAATATATGGATATTTCCTTTTGACTTAAAGACTTAGAAATGTATGTAAAATACATACATACCAGTTGTAAAGTTAGTTCATTTATTGTGTGAATTACAAATTAATTCCTTGCAGAAATAACTTGCATGTCTTTGTAGGCTTAATCCTGTAATGTTATTTTGAGTGCTCATTTGTAACACACTTCCTAAACTTGAGAATAGTGCACATGTATATGTAGAAAGCTATGGACATATGCCATCAAGTTGAAGAATCTAGAAGAACATACTGTTGTGCATAACTAAGGATATCTGCAAGCTCACATTTCTCAAGAAGAGGCTGATTGATAATTATTATTTATAATTACAAATGATAGTCTCTACCTTAAGCCAACATCATATTATTCCTTTTTTGATACACATATATTGAACATCCAAAGATCTTGTATGATTATTCAAAATATATGTATGCATACTCATTGAGGAAAATTATTTAGAAAGATTTATATAAATACAACATCTGTTTAATAAAATATTATGCTAGTCTAGGTGAGTTGTAAAGGTAAATTGCTTGTTATGTTGTAATGGCTTCAAACAGAGAAGTATTAAAGTCTATTTTTTATAGACTGATAAAGAATGATAAATACTGAAACATTACTCCAATAATGGAATTAATAGCATTATTCTTGAAGAATAATCTTGAAAATGCTATTTCATAGAATTTTATATAATTCCAGTTATTTCATGTTTTCCCAGAGATAATTTTTTAAAAATATATTAACTAGTTTTAGTTGTAGTTGAAAGTTTATGCATGCTATCATAATGGCAGCAGTTATAATATTCTTCAGCTACTAGCTGTATTTTTGAGTTCAATAAAATACAGTTCTTAAGAGACATTTATGATGCTGATGTTTTCAACACAGCCATCGTTTATAAGAATGAAAAATGCTCTCCATTATTTTCTTCTCTATCATTTTTACCATATATGTTTATTTATAAACAGAGAACTTTCAAAAATAAATTTAATGGCTAAACTGTTTTTAGATATAATAAGTAGCAAAAGTTTCCATATCACGTTGAAATTCTCAAATGAATGATGACATTTCACTCATGACTTGTTCCCCTAGTTGCCATTGGCTTTTAGAGATATTTGTGGCTTACCTCTAATACACAACCATTGACCATTACAGACTTCTAATGAAAACTTTACTTTTTAACAAATGAGAAATCCACACTAACAGGACAATTGCTAAAATGTGTCTTCCTCCTTAATGATATATATTAATTATAATAAAGGAATGCACATCTAATTAAGGCTAAACAATAAACCATAATACCATTTCCTTCGAAATTTTTTTCTCTTGATTTTGCCTATGGCAAACCTCAAGTAAAAATATTTTATGGCCTTCCTTGAATTAGTACGTAATGCAAAAAAGCCATAGATTTGGTGTATTAGAAAAACTAATGATTAATAACTGAGTGTGTAATTACTACTCTTTATTTAAGTTTGCATCTGCTTTAAAGGCTCAACGCCTCAGCTTCCAAAGTACATGTGTTGGGACAGAGATACTAATCCCAATGAGGTATAAACCTGGGGTTTTCCATGGCAGTGTGGTTAAGAGTCCACTCAGCAAAACAACCCAGATTTCTACAAAGCTCTAGCTACCCTGTTTAGCAACAGTATAATCATGATGAACTACCTGTTTAGAAAATACAAAGACATGTTAGGATTTGAAGGTCTAGTTGTAAAGAGCTTCTCTTTGAATTTTTAAACTGTTAGAATCTCTTAAGAGAGGGGTGAATTTTGGATACATATCAGACTGCAAATTCAGACTGTAGGTTATCTCATTGAATCCTTGGGGAAATAAATAGCTGCTTTACCTGAATCTTTAAGCAATTATCCCTGCAACAATTTTCAGAACTCTCTTGTAATTGGTCTCGATTTGATTTTCTTTGAATCCTGAATGATTCATGTAACAGACTTGTATGTTAGTCATTTACAATTTATAAATGGCAACTTAACTTCACTATGAATTGCGATCAATACTCTAGCAATCAAAACACTCACCTTTTCTATTTCAATACTTCAATTTTCTTTTTTGTTCTTAACTCTTTCCCAGAACGGCTAGATCATGAGCAAACCAGTTTTCACTTGTAGATGTTCATGCTCTTTTGGGAAGAAAGCAACTCTGAGATTAGGAACTGAAGTTGGAGAAGCAGTAGAGGAATCTGATAGCCAGGGAGGGTGTGTGTTTGTGGTGTTACCTACAAAACATGAATCTTAACAGATCTCCTACTGATCTGCTTTCATGTTTTACAGTTCAGCTTTTGTGCCTAGGAGCTTTGGCATTCGTGGTTATCAATAGCTGTTTGTTCTTAAGGAGATAAATTCAAATTGCCATGTGAAACTTTAGTAACAATGATGAAGGCGAGCAAACACCAAAACTATTGTGCGAGGAGCGGGAGGGAGGTAGTATGTGTGGTCGCTTTACCTTGAACCTACACAGCTTGTATCGACAGCCAGCCTTTCTCCTCAGAGGAAAGACTTCCTCTGAGAAGACACGGCCTCTCTTTCAACGGGCGTCTGCTTTTCTTCTGAAACACTTTCATAATCAAGTGACTTTCCTTGCATAGGTGCCTGGGGACAGCTGATTTTTCTCCAGGGATGAAGAAAGTTATATACGCGTGTCTGTACCAGCGCGGGCAGGAGCGGGCTCACGAGCGCCCTCGAATTCACACACATTTACCGAAACACATATCTCACCTGGTAGAGACACACACACGCACAGACACACACATACACACTCACACACACACACTCTCCTCCGCACATCATTCAAACGAGTTCGCGCGGAGCTAGGAGATCTGCGCCTCCCTTGGCATGGGTGTGTGGACAGTGGCGGCGTGTGTGTGTGTGTGTGTGTGTGTGTGTGTGTGTGTGTGTGTGTGTGCGCGCGCGCGTGTGCTTGTAACCTGTTAGGAAGACCGCAGCTACCTGATTCTGCAAGCACGATGTGATTCCCGTTCCTGAATATGTCGGACAAAATAAATAAATAAATCGCTGTTAAACTTTTTTTTTTTTAATTCTCTTTTCTTGAGGAAAACGGTGAGGAAGCTTGTCTCGGTGGTTGCAGACCGGGGAGACCCCGCGTCAAGGCCTTAGGTGCTGCGGCGACGGCGGAGCGGGGGACCTGGCTAGCCCGGCTGGTCTCCCACCGAACTGATCTAATCAATGACTCCGAAGCCCTGGGGTTCCTGGCTCCGCCCCCGCCAGCCTTTTCTCTGCCTCCTATTGGGCGCAGGCCGAGGAGGCAGGGCCTTGCTCCTCACGCGGATTGGCTGGCAGGGAATCAGTATCAATGTTTAAGCGGCGGCGTGAGGTGAATAGAGTCAGTCAGCAGAGACGCTGGGGAGAGAGCAGGGTCTGCGAGCCCCGGCGGATGCGGCAGCGGCGCAGGGAGGCTGGGGAGACACTACTCCAACTGTTGAATTGAATTTTCATCTTTCATTTCCTCCTCTGCTTTGCTTGCGGAGATGGATTTATTTGCTTTGAAATCAGCACGTCTTTCTCACACTGTGGGGTGATCCTGACAGACACCAGATTGAAAGAGACCACCCGTGACAGAAAAGGAAGAATTAAAACAAAACAAACAACCCCCTCCCCCCAAAAAAACCAAAAACCAAAACCCGTCCACAACAGACTGCACAATTAACCATGCACAGCGACGCTGGACTTTGTGAGTAGAGAACACTAAGGAAAATCTCGAACTATGATGCGGGGCTAAGCTGTACTGGAAACCTGATCATTTTTTTCCAAGACTCTGACAAATTTTGGGGGTGCCTCAAGCCTAACCAAGAGGAAAGGTTTTTAAAAAATAAAAATAAAATAAATAAATAAATAAATACACCTAGCAAAGCAGACGCCTTGTTTTCCAGAACCTCGGACTCCGGCAGAAAGAGGTAGAGTAAAAGTGCTGCTGGATTCAGCTTCACCTTCCTCCCTTCCTCCTTTTCTCTCGCTTTTTCTTTTTCCCCCAAACGTGAATCGGGCTTTTCTTTCTGTAGAGTGAGTCAGAGAGCGTTAGGAAGAAGCCGCAACTAACGTCTGTGAAGGGAGGACCATGAGGCGAGAGTGAATACGATTCGTTCCGCTGCTTCTGAGTCATCCGGCAGATTGGGACACCTGCATTTCTGGATGTGTCATTCCCGTATGTCGAGGCTCCTCGAGAACCCGAAATAATGTGTAGACACTCCTGTGCCTAACATCCCCCGGAGGAAGCTCCCCAGCGTGGGTGCCCCTGCCCGGATCGCCGGGCCGCAGCTCCTCACCCCTGTCCTCCCTGAGTCGCCCAGAGAGACTGTGAGAGAGAGAGACTGCAGAATGCATCACGCCAAACCTTGATGTGTTCCTTTCATCCAGCCCACTCCTCCTACTATCAAAAAACATTTTTTTGAAGAAAAAACTGACTTTATTTGCTTCAAATATTCACCACTTTTATTCCTCGCCAAGGTTTTCTTTTCTAAATGAAGAGGACTGAGAGGCAGGGCCATTGGAAGGAGATGCTGAATAGAAAGAAAAGAGAGGCACTTGACAGCCCAGCCCTGTGAATGCAGAGACTGTTTCCCTTCTAGCGAGAGACAGGGAGAGTGTGTGTGCGAGGACTGGGAGGGTGGCTCCCCCTTCCTTTTTATTCCGCCTCCCCTCCCCCTTCAAATCTGCACGTCCAACCATGAGTTGCCTGTTGATTTCCTTTCGCCTGGGAAGAAAAGCAAACTGGAATTAAACTGCATGGAGAGAAGTCCTGGCTCGCGGGGAGAGGATGGGATGGTAGCGGCGGCTACTGGCTTGGCGTAAAGAAATCACAGTGTGTTCTACGAACAGAGGCGGAGATATATCTATATATTTCCCCCTCCCAGTAGAATCACACCGCAAATGCTGATCAGGCTGTGGCTTTCTTGATTTCAGGGGAGAGCCTTTTCCGAGGAAGAGAGGGAGGAGCCTGGTGGGGAGAGGAAACTACAAATCGGGACACTAGTTCTTTACGCTGCATTTCCTCCCCTCCCTTTGGCTGCTCGGAAAGGAGAGAGAGAAAATACGCTTGGCTGGGAGATGCAGTCCGCCACCGCCGCTGCCTCAGCCAGCAATGCAAGATTAGATCTCTAAATGCAGCAAAACACTGCCTGAAAACCGACCAGCCCGCGCAGCAAGCAGACATTTCACGGTGCGCCGGGGGAGCTTCAAAATATATCTGTGACTCTCTCTTCGTTGCTCCTCAACCCCATCAACTTCATCACGGGAGACGAGTAACAAGTAAGGATTTCTCTTTCCGATCTGCCTGGAGACACACCTCCCCGCACCCTCCCCCACCCGATGTGAAGAGTATTCCGGAGGCTACGGGCGGGAGTAGATTTGCAGAGCCCTAGTGGGAGCGAGGAAAACCTACCGATTCTTTAGCTCATTATCATCCCTCCCAGACGTGATTTCCTTCTTATCGCCGTCCTCATCGCTCAAGTTTGAGCCTCCCGTAGTCCGGGCGAGAGAGACAGAACCCCGGGTTCGCCCGCAGCCGCCAAGGAGCCGCCGCCTTGCTCTGATCCCCTGCAGCTCCGTTGCGCCGCTGCTTCTCGCCTAGTGCGGATGCTGTAGATCAACAGGTTCGGGGAACTTGAGCAGAATAAGGAGAGACCGCCCGGTGCCGCAGCCCCGGTGCGGGGGAAGAAAGGACTCACAGACTTGTGGCTCGCGCTTCTCTCACACGCTGCGCCCGGGCCCCAGGCTGGCTCGCACCCACCCGCTCATCCCTCCAGTCCGGCTGCTCCTGCCCCCACCCCACCGGTCTGGGATGTACCTTTCCATCTGTTGCTGCTTCCTTCTATGGGCCCCTGCCCTGACGCTCAAAAACCTCAACTACTCGGTGCCGGAGGAGCAAGGGACCGGCACGGTGATCGGCAACATCGGCAAGGATGTTCGACTGCAGCCCGGGCTTCCGCCGGCTGAACGCGGCGGCGGCGGCGGCGGCGGCGGCGGCGGGCGCAGCAAGTCGGGTAGCTACCGGGTGCTGGAGAACTCGGCGCCGCTCCTGCTGGACGTGGACCCCGACAGCGGGCTCATCTACACCAGGCAGCGCATCGACCGCGAGTCCTTGTGCCGCCACAACGCCAAGTGCCAGCTGTCCCTCGAGGTATTCGCCAACGACAAGGAGATCTGCATGATCAAGGTAGAGATCCAGGACATCAACGATAATGCGCCTTCCTTCCCCTCCGACCAGATCGAAATGGACATCTCAGAAAACGCGGCCCCCGGCACCCGCTTTCCCCTCACCAGCGCACATGACCCCGACGCGGGCGAGAACGGGCTCCGCACCTATCTGCTCACGCGCGACGACCACGGCCTCTTTGCACTGGACGTCAAGTCCCGCGGCGACGGCACCAAGTTCCCAGAGCTGGTCATCCAGAAGGCGCTGGACCGTGAGCAGCAGAACCACCACACGCTCGTGCTGACTGCCCTGGATGGCGGCGAGCCGCCGCGCTCCGCCACAGTGCAGATCAACGTGAAGGTGATCGACTCCAACGACAACAGCCCGGTCTTCGAGGCGCCCTCCTACCTGGTGGAACTGCCCGAGAACGCCCCGCTGGGCACCGTGGTCATCGATCTGAACGCCACCGATGCTGATGAGGGGCCCAACGGCGAAGTGCTCTACTCCTTCAGTAGCTACGTGCCCGACCGCGTGCGGGAGCTCTTCTCCATCGACCCCAAGACAGGCCTGATCCGTGTTAAGGGCAACCTGGACTATGAGGAGAATGGGATGCTGGAGATCGATGTGCAGGCCCGAGACCTCGGGCCTAACCCTATCCCGGCCCACTGCAAGGTCACAGTCAAGCTTATTGACCGCAACGACAACGCGCCGTCTATCGGTTTCGTCTCCGTGCGCCAGGGGGCGCTGAGCGAGGCCGCCCCTCCCGGCACCGTCATAGCCCTGGTGCGGGTCACTGACCGAGACTCGGGCAAGAACGGGCAGCTGCAGTGTCGGGTCCTAGGCGGAGGAGGGACTGGCGGCGGCGGCGGCCTGGGTGGGCCCGGGGGTTCCGTCCCCTTCAAGCTTGAGGAGAACTACGACAACTTCTACACTGTGGTTACTGACCGCCCGCTGGACCGCGAGACACAGGACGAGTACAATGTGACAATCGTGGCGCGGGATGGGGGCTCGCCTCCACTCAACTCCACCAAGTCGTTCGCGGTCAAGATTCTGGACGAGAATGACAACCCACCTCGTTTCACCAAGGGACTCTACGTGCTGCAGGTGCATGAGAACAACATCCCAGGAGAGTACCTGGGCTCCGTTCTCGCCCAGGATCCCGACCTGGGTCAAAACGGCACAGTATCCTACTCCATTCTGCCCTCGCACATCGGCGACGTGTCCATCTATACCTATGTGTCTGTGAACCCCACCAACGGAGCCATATATGCCCTGCGCTCCTTTAACTACGAGCAGACCAAGGCCTTTGAGTTCAAAGTGCTTGCTAAGGACTCGGGCGCGCCCGCGCACCTGGAGAGCAACGCCACTGTGAGGGTGACAGTGCTAGACGTGAATGACAACGCGCCGGTGATCGTCCTGCCTACACTACAAAACGACACCGCTGAGCTGCAGGTGCCGCGCAACGCTGGCCTAGGGTACCTGGTAAGCACCGTGCGCGCCCTAGACAGCGACTTCGGCGAGAGCGGGCGTCTCACCTACGAGATTGTGGACGGCAACGACGAACACCTGTTTGAGATCGATCCGTCCAGCGGCGAGATCCGCACGCTGCACCCCTTCTGGGAGGACGTGACGCCCGTGGTGGAGCTGGTGGTGAAGGTGACCGACCACGGCAAGCCCACCCTGTCCGCGGTGGCCAAGCTCATCATCCGCTCGGTGAGCGGCTCCCTGCCTGAGGGGGTACCCCGGGTGAATGGCGAGCAGCACCACTGGGACATGTCGCTGCCGCTCATCGTGACTCTGAGCACTATCTCTATCATCCTCCTAGCGGCCATGATCACTATCGCCGTCAAGTGCAAGCGCGAGAACAAGGAGATCCGCACTTACAACTGCCGCATCGCAGAGTACAGCCACCCGCAGCTGGGCGGGGGCAAGGGCAAGAAGAAGAAGATCAACAAAAATGATATCATGCTGGTGCAGAGCGAAGTGGAGGAGAGGAACGCCATGAACGTCATGAACGTGGTGAGCAGCCCCTCCCTGGCCACCTCCCCCATGTATTTCGACTACCAGACCCGCCTCCCCCTCAGCTCGCCCCGGTCGGAGGTGATGTACCTCAAACCAGCTTCCAACAACTTGACTGTCCCCCAGGGGCACTCGGGCTGCCACACCAGCTTCACCGGACAAGGGACTAATGCAAGCGAGACCCCCGCCACGCGGATGTCCATAATTCAGGTAGGAGACTTTTAGCATAACTGGACTTCACTATATTGCTGGTTTTGAGCTGTCCTGAAACCTTTGGAACAGGGCAAGCCACACTGCCAGCAGCAGTGAAAGGGGAAAAATTTTAAATGAAGATGGTTTACACTTAACATTGTGTTCACATCAAATTCTACACATACCCCCTCCCATGTAAATAGTCTAAAATCTACCAGATGTAAATGTCTTACTGCTATTGCACTTTTAAAGTTTATTTTTATAGGAATAAAAGGGTTAACAGTGTTCAGTATTCGTAATTTATTTTACTTTATTTTTATTTGTTGGTCTACAAGTAAAGGCCTTTATTTTCATAACGAAGGATTCCCAGAGTAGAAAAAACTGTTTTAGTTAACTCCTTAAAAATATTTTAATTTTTAGAAATTTGATGGCAAAAATGAAAGAAATTTGTACTCAGTTATTAAGAAGATAACTTCTGGAAGAACAGAATAGCACCAGTCGTCACAATTCTAGAGCTTGAGTCAATTTCAACTGTTTTCACACCCCCCCCCAAAAAAAAAGTCAATTGTATATTTAAAAAGTGTTTTAAAGGACTTTTAAAGGAGTCTCATTTATTCATCAGCTGAAACTGCAGCATAATGCGTTAGTGTAGCTTAAACTGTGAATTATACTCTGAAGCACTTTCAAACTTTTGCATGAATGAATGCAGGCTCTGGATGATGACCAGTAACTGTCTATGAAAAGTTTATATTTGTTTTGTTCTGTGGTCTCCCCGATCTGTTTCTTGGAGTCACCGAGGAATGAACAGAGTATACCAGAGGGTCACAGGCTCATTTTGTGCTGTTTATAACAGGAAGAAAAGTTGCACTGAAGGCTCTTGATGTGTCAAAGAGAATTCCAGGATGCATTTAGTTTGTATGCTGTGTGCTTTCAGTAGATTTAAGTGATACTTAATATATATTAGATAGTGTGATTCAAAGTTATTGATATATGATAAAAAATAAATGATTGACCCAGCATGGATATAGATTTTAATAACAACAGGTGACTGTTCTGTGTCTAATCACTGTGTAGGTTCTTTTTATCCACTATTGAGTTGTGTCACAGAAAAACTTTATTCTTTCTTATTATGAATGTGTGTAGCTACAAATTACTCTGTATGAGCCATACTTGAAATTTAAAATTGAATTTAACTAAAAGTGACACTTCAGGAGGATTAGTTTGGGTCAAATGAAAATACTTCGTTCATCATTTTATGCTTTGAATAGCAAATAACTTTTAATGACACTTGACTCAGTAATGTCTTTATTGTTAGAATACAGTAGTAAACTTTCATAATCTTATCCTTTCTAACATGTACACTAGATACTAATACTTAGTAAAACATATTTTCCTGTAAAAGTATAATGTCCTTATAAAGCAGATTCATACTTAATGCTACTGAATATGTAACTATCAATTGTAGTGTGAAATCCCACTTTGTATCTTGTTTACTGTATATTAGCAATCACAATTTTTTCCCCTAGGTCTATATAAAACTGAGGGGAAAAAAAGTACCACTTAAAAAATATGTGGTTTCTACGAAAGTCTTTCTATGACTGGGTAAAACTGCTATTTACGGTGATCAATACATCTTTTGGGAAAGATATGTTAAAATACATATTTGTAGATCTACTGAAGTTATTCTATATATACACATATTTATATACCTTCCTTATATTTGTACCATTGACAATTACATAGGTGTCACAGAGAGTTAATGCTTAATCTTCTACTTCAAGTTCTGTGAGTTGAATTCTCATTTAGTTTTCAGTGAAAATTAAGTTGGTGCAGTAGAATTCTCAGCAAGCCTGATTTCTTGGTCAGGCTAGTGAGGAAAAATCTTGAATTGAAATATCTAGATGGTTTTGAGGGACAGTCATGCCTGCACTATATTTACACTATGCTATCATTGAAGCTGGTCATTACTTAAAGAGAACAATAATGATTCCTCTCATTAGCAGGAAAACTTAAGCCAAAGCAAATCTTTCTTTCCCTCACACACAGCCAATTTTAGCAGAAAGCAAAGGACATTGCCATTCCGTTTCTTCTAGAATCTTAATCCATGCCATAAACACACAAAATGAATTTTAGTTTTAAGTCCTTGAAATTTCAGACTGGCTCAATTTCCCTGCCCTGGCAATATCCTCAGCATAAACTATTAAAATAGGCTTTTTTTTTTCTGTTGAGTGTTTGCAATCCTCTAAGGAATGCTTTGTAAATTCCTGATATATTAATTTACTTTAAAATATATTAGGTTTATCTCAATGCTTATTATGGAGAACAGAGGAAATTAACTATAGTGACTATCTCTTTTTTAATTTTTTTTTACACTAGCGTGCTACAAACACATTGTGATAAGGTGCTTTAAATTAAAGCATTCAGGTATCCCATAACCTTCTTTTAGTTGCATTTATTAGTGTATGCATGTAGCACAGCCTGCTGTGGAAACACACTATTAATCTCATGTGTATTTTTGAAGGTAGAATTTTAATTTGTAGAGTTTGCTTGGACTAACAGCTGCTAGAGTCTGGTTCATCTTTATTTTCCAGAATTTTCTGTGCTATGTAGAAGATGCACCTTGTATTTCTATTGATGGAATGAAAAGAATTTAATAATTGTATTGAGATACACTGGTACAGGGTGTTGATATGAAATTTAGAAGCGTCATGATTTATAAGGTTTACATTACAGCAAAAGGTAAGATTAGTTTAAGTATCGAAGCATTTTGTGTCCTTCACAGGGTCTAACATATTAAGGTTAACACCTGTAGGTTCTTCTTGAGCATAAAAGTATTTTTACTGAACATGAATACAGAACAATTATGTAAACTAGTGTAGAAACAGTGGTTTGTGAGAAGAAATTTTATTTCAGGTTTTTTTCAAGTTTCTCAGACAAATTAAAGTCAGTCGATAACGTGTTTAATCAACAGATTAGTGACTGAACTATCCACAATAGTATGATCAAAATTCAACATACTTATAATGAAATATTTTATTCATTTTAAAGCTATAAAACTGATATTGAAGAATAGAAGCATAGATTTTGTGGTAGGTGAGGCAAATAGATTGTTACACCGATTTGTAAGAGCACCTTTCATAGGAGCAATTTCGGTGTGAATTATTTCCTGTGTTAATATGAAATTTAAAGTCAAGGAGAGATCATTACTAATTCTCAAGAATAACTGCTAATTGTGGCTTATCAAGAATTAGTTATTAAGTCTCAGGGTGACTGACTTCTAAACAGGTGTTTTCAATGAAGGCCTCCTTGAGAAGAGGGGAGGAGGCTGGGGACATCTCACTGACTGGAGAATTTCCAGTTTTGTTTGAACATCTGTGTTTCACATGTTTTATAGCACTACAAGACATTTTAATATGCTCTCACAGTAGAAGATACATTGGGCCAGCAGAATAAGATCTACTGAAATAAATTTTTTAAAGGAACACATTCTTATTCCCTGTTTTACAGATCAATTTCAAAAGATTCACATTAGGGTTGACTTTAGAGCCTTTATGCCATGAAGATAAAATCCTTTTGATATATGTCCATGGCCTTTTCAATAAAAGGGAATTAAGCACATGGTAAATGCTTAGAGCCAATTCAAGTATATAAAAATGAGACTGAGGTGTAGAGGGCTAAAATATCATAGTGTAAATAATAAACGCAATATTTCAGAATAAAANTGCAAGCGAGACCCCCGCCACGCGGATGTCCATAATTCAGGTAGGAGACTTTTAGCATAACCGGACTTCACTATATTGCTGGTTTTGAGCTGTCCTGAAACCTTTGGAACAGGGCAAGCCACACTGCCAGCAGCAGTGAAAGGGGAAAAATTTTAAATGAAGATGGTTTACACTTAACATTGTGTTCACATCAAATTCTACACATACCCCCTCCCATGTAAATAGTCTAAAATCTACCAGATGTAAATGTCTTACTGCTATTGCACTTTTAAAGTTTATTTTTATAGGAATAAAAGGGTTAACAGTGTTCAGTATTCGTAATTTATTTTACTTTATTTTTATTTGTTGGTCTACAAGTAAAGGCCTTTATTTTCATAACGAAGGATTCCCAGAGTAGAAAAAACTGTTTTAGTTAACTCCTTAAAAATATTTTAATTTTTAGAAATTTGATGGCAAAAATGAAAGAAATTTGTACTCAGTTATTAAGAAGATAACTTCTGGAAGAACAGAATAGCACCAGTCGTCACAATTCTAGAGCTTGAGTCAATTTCAACTGTTTTCACCCCCCCCCAAAAAAAATGTCAATTGTATATTTAAAAAGTGTTTTAAAGGACTTTTAAAGGAGTCTCATTTATTCATCAGCTGAAACTGCAGCATAATGCGTTAGTGTAGCTTAAACTGTGAATTATACTCTGAAGCACTTTCAAACTTTTGCATGAATGAATGCAGGCTCTGGATGATGACCAGTAACTGTCTATGAAAAGTTTATATTTGTTTTGTTCTGTGGTCTCCCCGATCTGTTTCTTGGAGTCACCGAGGAATGAACAGAGTATACCAGAGGGTCACAGGCTCATTTTGTGCTGTTTATAACAGGAAGAAAAGTTGCACTGAAGGCTCTTGATGTGTCAAAGAGAATTCCAGGATGCATTTAGTTTGTATGCTGTGTGCTTTCAGTAGATTTAAGTGATACTTAATATATATTAGATAGTGTGATTCAAAGTTATTGATATATGATAAAAAATAAATGATTGACCCAGCATGGATATAGATTTTAATAACAACAGGTGACTGTTCTGTGTCTAATCACTGTGTAGGTTCTTTTTATCCACTATTGAGTTGTGTCACAGAAAAACTTTATTCTTTCTTATTATGAATGTGTGTAGCTACAAATTACTCTGTATGAGCCATACTTGAAATTTAAAATTGAATTTAACTAAAAGTGACACTTCAGGAGGATTAGTTTGGGTCAAATGAAAATACTTCGTTCATCATTTTATGCTTTGAATAGCAAATAAC